ACTCACCTACTTCAAAGACAGGGAAGCCTATTCCTAAACACTGCTTTTTCATTCTTTGGGAGTAGTGAATATTCTCCTGGATTCTGAACATGGGTCTCCTGGAAACCTTTGCAGGTCTTTCTAGTGATCCCCTGTGTCCTGGTCACTGCTGCACTTGCTCTAGGCCTGAAGTCTTGATGCATAGGTGGCTCTCCTCTGGCCGTGCTCCTGCCAATACTTCTTGGGTCCAGTCTCCTCGGGCAGGGGAGCACTGTGCTCCAATTCTTGACACTCAGTGCTCACAGTTCATAAATGTTTCTGTTGACTATTTAAAGGAGACAATTTTTCTCCTGAAATGCCAGAGTATACCTGCAAGAAAGGGCCAAAGTACAATCTGAGGAACCCTTGTTCAAAGCACCTCTTTATTCCTAAGTCCATCTCTCACTTTTAGTCTTTACCCTCTTCTCTTAACCAGAATTTATTCCCATACTTGTCCTTGAATCCTTCTGCATGAACACATTCTGTGAAAAGCTCTCCCCGTTTGTCCTTCAGTGAACACAGATATTCCTATATTGGCATTGACTACATAGATTAGAACCTCCTTCTGCCAGTGTTTACTACCAACGTGTTTCCTTAAGCTTTGGGAATGATATGGGAATCAATAAACTTCCCTGCTAAATTTTTGTACTTGAATACAGGTTAACGCATTTTTGTTTTATACAGTTATTTATGTTTTCATTTTCGAAGCACATTTTTTCTTCATTCTGAGTTTTACTGTGTCTTGAGAACAAAACTAGATTAACTATATCCAATCCACAGGCATATATTTCTATTTTGATTATAACTTAAAAATGGGTTCCAGAATATAGCAGGACAGTAGATTCTACATTTGCAGAAACTAATTCTTAAATGACTAGAGTTTATTAAAAAAAACCTATTTCAGAGATGGTCAGAAACCTTCAAAGAAGGAGGTCCTCTAAAATGCTTAAATGAGTAAAAGACACACACACACACACAAAAAAAAAAAACTCTGCATAAACTACTTTGTACTTAACTCTATGGTTTCCCTATGAATACTAAAACAGCAATAATAATCAAGGATGAAACAGTATCCAATTTTCATTATGAAAGTAGGAGAAATTAATCAACTCTCCAGGAGACACATGTTTATATTTTCAGTAAGCTTTGGTGGGATTTACCAGAATACTTTGGCTTGGTTACTAGAAACAAATGTATAGCAAGGAAACCTTTGATAAAAACTTGGACTCTGCGACTCCATTACTGCATTCACATGAGGAAAAATAGGGAAGACTTACAATCTGGTAATAATATGCTCCTGGCAGGGCAGAGTTCAAGCCTGTCTGAGATGCACTGAATCTAATGGAGAACAGAAGTGTTTACACTAATGAAGCCCTTGAAGCCTTGCTTTGCCAAACTTTTCGCCATCCCCATACCTATGCCTGCTCCCCAGGATGCTCCTTGTGCCTGAAATCACAGAATTGTAGTGATTTCCAGTTCATCCTTCAAGAGCCAGACTAATAGCCACCTCTACCGTGAAGCCTTCAAACTTAAACTGTCCTTTGTCCCAGCCTTTGACTCAGTATACCTCTGCATTTTATACTCATCACACTATGATATAGCTATTTTTTTCTAATCAAATTACAAGAATGAAAGCTCAAAGAGTGTAGAAATATTGTCCTTTTTGTTCATTTCTTTCTAGATACAGTACCCTTGGGACCTAAAAACATTCCTAGCACAAAGGAGCTACATAAGTACTTGTTGGACCATCCATTTCTTAGTATGTATAGACATATAGGTATGGCTGGAAGGAAGGAAACAAGATCAAACATGACTTGTATGATCCACATGGTCCAATTAGCATTAGGATTGTGAAGAATAGATGTTCAGTTTGATGAATACTTCATATAAAAGTATTAAATTTGTGTAACTGACTAGGTATCATATGCTAAGAGTGAAATGATGACATAGACATTGAACTGTAAATATTTTTGGAGAGAAATAAGTTGATGAGTTGAGATTGTCCAAATTTACCAAAAGAAGCAGGGATTTATAGCAAGAAAGAAGAGGTTGAGGATCAGCAGACTGAAGGAATGGGAATAAGAATGACATGTTTTGTGAAGAAAATAAGCAGACCATTTATGAATGGAAACTCTAAACAATAGGTTGGAAAAGATGAGCCCAACCAAAAATCAATGCTCAGCCATCAGTTGTGTGGTATTGAGCAAGAAAGACATTTAACCTTCATGAGTTCCATTTTCCTTATTTGTAACTTGGTGATATAACTAGGCTTTGCTGTTATGCAAAGTTATTGTGGAGGTCAAATGAGTCAGGATGATTCTGACACTGGCAAGACATAAGCACTAATAAATAGTGGGATAGAAATTGGAATATACATTATGGTTTAGACTATAGATCATAGAGGAAAAAACATTGGGAGAAAATGTATTCAAATTCATTGCACTTAAGTAAGAAGGTTAGAACTCTGAACGTTCTCCTCTCCAATTTTCTCTGTATTCCAAAGCATCATTGAGAAATATATATTAATTAAAAATTGTTTTATTTGATAAATAATATCTTAGGGGATGAGAAAATCACAGAGAATTTTTTTTTAAAAAGGTCTCATCATTCAAGGTGCTAGCATTTTAGCAAGTAGAGCTAGACACAAAACAATGTAGATATGTAAGACAATTTCATATAATAATTTTTAGAATAATAGTATATTTATGAAGCAGAGTGTTGTGCTAGATAGAGAGGTCAGGGCAGACTTATCTGAGCAAAGACCCACATGGTGAATAGGTGCCAAAATCTAAATGCTGAGTTGGGAGTATGTTATAGACTATGGGACAAGCAGTTGCAAATGTTGTGAGCAAAATGAGCTAGATGTATTCAACGAATATATATATATATATATATGTATATATATGTATATATATGTATATGTATACAATACATATACATTAATTATATCTAATAAAATTAGACTATCAGATGATAAAATGACCTCCAGTTTCCTTATTTGTGTCAATTGATAATAATAAAAATATACATATAATAATATACATGTACTACTTATATGTACTGCACAACAACATTTTGGTCAACAATGGACCAGTAGCATTTCTCAAAAGAAAGGCCTGTTGTTAAGTGAGGCATGACTGTGTATACAGTATGTAAATGATAACATTTATCTGATAGATGATAAAATGAACTCCATGATGATTTCATGGCATTATATGATTTGCCAACATCCACTTAATGGGGGAAAATTGGAGTCACTGAATATACAGTCATATATGTTCTTTCTACCACTAAATATTTCAAAAGTATAAGTTTGGCATCATCTCAGCAAGTTTTTACTAGTATGTTTGACAGTGGTTAAGTACTCAAATAGTATTTATAGAGTTCCGTACAATGGGGTGAAAATAAAGTGTTGATTGGAAACATCAGTATTCTAAATGTCAATTCTGATTTTCTGCTTTATGTGCTGTTATTTTCTTTTGTATTTGATTTCCTCAAAATGAAAAGAAGCAGTGGTACCTTTGGGAAAATATATGTTGGGGATAAAATTTGTGAATGTTGAGCTGTGTAGATTTCACTGTGAGGTATTTGAAAATTAATATTTGTACTTTTTTCCTGGCAACACATACTTCTAAAAAATAATGAGCCAAGCTGTCTTGAGGGAGCAAATCCCTGATAGAGTGGTTTGGGCACTTAGAGAGGCACATTGACTGCTTTAAGTCCCCAGAGCTTCATCATTGACTTCATTTTTCCTTTGAAGCACTCTACAGAATCTGTTTCCAGAAGTTTTGAGGTACAATGGACAGCAGGTCATTTTCTTCCAGCCTTTCAGTGCCTAGAACAATAGACTTCTGAAATGCTATGCCCTTTCAATGTTGTCCAGATTATGGGCTATTCCTTTGTGAAAATACTATTATTAATGGAACTTTGATGTTAATTTTAAAGAGTTCTCTCTGTCTTCTGTGTCTGCAAAGATAAATGCTGACCCTAAGCCACATGAAACATATTCCATCTCCATTTAAAGCATTCATATCCACAAAGCCTTTTTTCTATAGAAGGGAACACTGTCAGCATTAATGCTGTCCATGTCAGAGAGGAAACATAATCCACCTCACTCTTTCCCTTGTTCCTCTTTCCATCAGAAACACAACTTTAAAAAAATACCATCAAGGTGTTATTCTCCCAAGGTGTTATTCTCCTTGGTCTTTGTGTGTGTGTGTGTGTGTGTGTGTGTGTGTGTGTGTTTAATGGCTGTCATTTCTTGATCATTCAGACAGAAGCATCAAAAAGCAAAACTACTTTTGACAGTTCCCATTGGGATAAAAAAGATATGACACCTACTCCTACATTTATTATCCTCTAAAATGATCTATTCTGAAAGAAAATGACACAATTTTCAAAGAGGTATGATTTTTCTACCTCCTTTGATACAGCCAGCATTGCCTTTTCAACAGATATTTCATCTGGAGACCATGTCAGGATCTGTAGGGGAATCCAGAAGAGATAAAATATGTCCTTCAGGTTCTGCACTTTGAGTATTATTGTGTTGGAGGACAAATGGAACTCAAATTACTTAAGAGTCCTTAGAGGTATTACAGTAGATTAAGCATTCAGGATCATGAATTAGCTCATTTTATGCTCAGTACTTGCATTTAGGATTATCACTCTCCAGCTATGAGGCACACTTACCTCTTAGAACCTCAGAAATCTCCATAAAAGAAAGGTGATATTGGTAACCATTTCCTAAATTTCTCTGATGATAGTAAGATTATGCATATAAGGTATTTAGTGTGGTTTTTAGGACCTTGAGTAAATATTTCAGGCATAGGTATTACTTCTTGATAAATACTGAGAATTTATTTAAATTTAAATAAGGAGAATAATTATAAGCTCAATTTTTTTTTCAAGTGGGCTTCAACAATTATATTGCACGCATTTTAACAAATTGCTAATATGGACTATGTTTTCTTTTTTCTTAATAGGCATTTTCAGTTGTTGCTTGGCATACAATGTTGGTCTCCCAGAAGCAAAAATATTTTCCGGTCCTTCAAGTGAGCAGTTTGGCTATGCAGTGCAGCAGTTTATAAATCCAAAAGGCAACTGGTAAGAATATTCTTTTCTTTATGATTTGAATAAAAATACTGTGTAAATTTAATATTTGACTCCAATTCTTATTAAAACGAGTATATGATTAGAAAAGTAATGGATAGCCCACAAATACTTTTAAATGAAGGATCTATCTTTGAGAGTGACAACTGCAGATTGATAATTAATGGGATGGCATAATGATATTTTTTAAAAAATACCTGGATAGAAAATTTTCTCTAAATATTTCATAGTAAATTTATAATACCAGGGTTGAGCATTAGATAGATCATAGATATTATCTTCATTTCTTATTCTATAAGTTGATGATCATTCATCTTTTAAAATAATGAGCTATCTAATACTATGTTGGGGTCATTTCTAGACGGTAGAATTTCTCCCTAAATTTTCTCCTTTACATGACTTTGTCCACTTGCTTCATTCTAAATCTTCCTCATGCCATGTGGTAAAGAATACTCACAAACAATTTTAGAAAGTTTACAAAGGTGTCTTTCTATAGTGTATTTAGTGCTTTCGTTTTTGCTCCCAAGCACCCCCTTCCAGTCTTTTAATGTGAGGTAAGAATTACATTTATAAAACATAGTTTCTCTCCTTGATGCAAAACAACCACCTTCATAGAAATAGAAAGAAATATATATCCCCATTGCCAGTTGAAGCTTCCCATAATAGCAAAATAGATCAACTCAGGGGAAACCAGATTTTGAATAAAGTTTTTCCTCTGCCTGAATTGATGCCCACTTATGAACAGAGTCATCTCAGCAGGCAGAGTGGCGTCTGATAGAAACCTTATCTCCCTGGAGCTTCAGTTTCTGATCATCCTCTAAAACACTTTCCCATGATTATAGGGAATGCTATTGGCTTATCAGATAAGACCTACAATGTATAGCCTTTTGCATGTGAACTTATATTTGATGCTGTAAACAACTGAATTCAAATAAATAGTTTAAATTCAAGTTATTTGCATGTTGGGGTCTGCCTGACTGTCTGTGTCATGAGGAAGCAAAATGAAATTAACATGAGAGAGGAGAAGTGTATTTCAGAAGGCAAGTTGGAGGAGGTGAATGGTGAGGTAGATTTAAGTGATGGTGATGAAGAGGCTGCAGGTGAATGTTAACTAATGGGAAGAGACTTGAAAGCAAAGTATGCTGGAGATAGTGAGTCAATCAAATTGAAGGATAAGAATGGTTAAGTTGGAAAGATTAGTAATTGATTATTTAATCATTTGGAATATGACAGAGTTGCATCTCAACCAACTACTAGATTTTGCTTTGACAATCATAAAGTAGTAAGAAGGCTAGAAAGATGATATGGTCAGTGTTTCAATCTTGGAACACAGCAGACGAAGTTGCTAATAACCTGCAATTTTACATGCCCAACCCTGTTCCCTTCTGCAGAATCCCATAATCCAATCCAGTCAGCATCTCCATTTTAATACCTAATAGACACATCACACGTAAGTAAGAAAACACAACTATTTAATTTTTTGTGCCAGCTAAAGAGACCACAACACTTTGATTCCTTTCTCTCTCTCTTCCTACCTCATCCATAACTGAATCCTGTTGACCCATCACCAAAATGCATGACATGTCTGGTCATTGCCAACCATCTCTCCTGCTGCTAACATGATGGAAGCCAGCACTAGCTTCTGCAGATTCGGCTGTAACAACTTCTTGGCCTGTGTCCTGCTTCCTTCTCACCCCTCTTTATTCCATACTGCTCTCTAGAGCCAGCGTGAACTTATGTGTTTTTTTACTTTATTAGAAAGAAATAAAATAATGTGTTTTTTTACTTTATTAGAAAAAATTAAAATTCCTAAAGGTCCCTTCATGATCTGGTGCTGTAACCGAAAGCTCACACCCTGTCCCCAATGCCAATTAATGCCAATTTAATAATAAGGATATGGTTTTGATCAAAAGGAAAAAGAAGGTTTATTGCTTTGTTAGCAAAGGAGAAACACAGGGGACTCCTGTCCCAAAGGCTGTGACTCTCCCTATCAGGAGGAACAGGGGCATTTTAAAGGAGCTCTTCAAGGGCTTCACTCCAGGTGTGCCCCGACAGGGGGTCCAGGGTGCTTTGAAGGTGGGTTAGGATTCACTTGTTAATTTGTCACTTCCTAGATCCTCTGGCAGACATCTCCTTCCTGTGGAGCATAGATAATTCAGGGTAATCTTGTTTACCACCCCCAAGTTAGGGACTGAGAGAGAGAAAAGGAAAAGGAAAAAAAAATGTCCCTTTTAAAAATAAGCCTCAAAACTGTATTCAAAAGTGAAGTGGAGGACTGCTACAGTGCCAGCCTGCCTTTCCTAGGTTTTCTTCATCCCTTGCTCCCTGTTTCCTATGCTTTGTGGGCTGTCTCTTGTTCCTTGACTACACAAAGCTCATTCCTGCTCCAAAACTTCTGCACATCCTTCTCCTGCCTGGAGAAGTTTCCCTCCAAGATCTTCATTAGCTGGTTGGTTCTCATCTCTCAGTCTCAGTTGAGGCATCTGCTCCTCAGAAAACTGTCAGAGTACACCTATGTATTTAGCACTTTCTCCACACTTCAAAAGTGGGGCTGGTCTGAGGACAAGGTGGCATTGAGTTTGAGGTGATTCTTCTTAAGCAACAACTTTCCTGGGACAGGGAAGCTCCAAGAATAAAAGCCAGCATCATTAACAGACATTATCAGAGATAATAAGCCCATCATGGATTATAAGGGAACCAAACCACGGGCCAAGTAGCAGGATGGAAATTGAGTAAGATCAGAAGGGACAAAGAGTTGACAAGAATGTTTTCCAGTTCTGGGAAAGTAAGAGGCAGCCATCTCTCCTTTCCCTCTGAAGGCTTCTTGCTAACCATTCAAGACCTGGTTAAAAGACAAGCCTGTTAGGAGTTTATAGTGAGATTCTGGTGCAAAACCCAGGAAAACAGATATTTCTAAACCCTGCCTTGGCTATCCTAGAGCACTCAGAGAGATAGAAAAACATGGGACAATGGCTACTGGGAGACAAGGATCCTCTCTGCCATCTGCTGGGCTAGTGCTTTTACTTCTAGAGTGGAGCTTTCTGGTAAGGTTCAACATTAAGCCTCTATCTAATTACCAGCTGGTGTGAGCATATCCCACCACACAAGAAGGGGAGAAGGGCAAGCAGCTCTCTGCCCTGAAGGGGCTGAACCACATGGAGGTGAGAAGTTGGTAGGAAAGAACCAGAGCTGACAGGCTGCCTGTGAGTCCCTTCACTGATCTGGTCTGGAGACAAAGAAAGAAGCCAAACCACAGGGCACAAGCTTCTAATTCATTGTGGACTGACACTATGGGAAGTGCAGAAATATAGAACTTGACTTTGAGGAAAGACAGGAATAATACAGAAGACAGAACTTAGTCCCAACCCCTTGTATCAATAGTGTTGGTGTTATTTTGGTATCCCTAGCTACATTAATTTAATAAGGCCACATACACCAAAGGGACAAGGTTTCCTCAGGATCCGTGTTATTAGCCCTGCCCTGCCAGCATTCCTTCTCCTGGAGGCAGAGCTGGGGCCAGGAGACAGGTCAGGGGGTGATGCCGTTCCAGCACTGGAGCGGGCCACAGCTAGGACAGGCAGCACTCGGAATGCTCAAGGAAAATAATGTGAAATTTGGAGTCCAGAATTGCCTGTTTGTTTTGACAATTGGCACTGTTCCCTTCCCCACTGTTAATTTATGACAATTGCTCAGACATTATGGAAGTAGCAGATGTGAAAAGGACTGTGTAAATATTAACTTTTCTTCTGATACTAATCAAGTTAACTTTGGGCACAGAAAGGGGGATTACCATGAATTCCTTTAATAAACTATGCGTCTTTCTTCCCAGAATGTTTGCATATTATACGAGAACAGTGCAAGGGTACACACACACACACACACACACACACATATGCACACATCTTTATTTTCTTTGCTCTCCTGTTGCCTGTTTTGAGCTGTGATTTTGCTTCCCTTTTTCCTTTGCCTTTACAAACTGTCTGAACCCCGACTCAGCCCCTTTCTTCCCTCTAATGACTCGCTTAAGACTCTAGTTTTGAGTTTTCTTAAATCACACTCCATTGTGTCTAAAAACTACAATTTTAACTCGTTTGTGTCCTGTGTTTCTAAGAATTTATAGGCATATTTTACATCAAGATCTACCAGATTTTAACAAAATAATCTTGACTCTTTTACTAGTTTGGTTTATTAGGTTTTATTACACAGTTAGCTTCTACTCTAGAAATGAAAATAGTTGTGACATGGGTTTGGTCATTCTTGAGCCCTTTCAACAGTCTCAAGTGAGCTGGATAATATTAAAAGCAAGATGACCTCCAAAACTGAGCCCAGGAGCAGCCCCCTGGCTGTAGGTAAAACTGTGGTCTGGTCCTCTTTCAGGTTAGGCAGAGGCTACCATGCCTCCCCACCCCCAACCCCTGCCCCCAGCCCTTACTTTACATACAGGATGTTCCAATGAGGATGATGCAATTGTATCACAAACAATCTACAAAGGATTGAGATATGTTTAAAGTCATTTCCTGGAGCTTTTGGTGATACACACTGTTTCAGTCTGTGTAATCTGAAGGCTGGTCCCAGGAAGAAGCTGAGTTCATTATGACTCAAAAGCCACTGAAAACTACAATCACTGGTGTAATGAGGACTGAATGAGAACTAGGGGTATTTCCAGATAAAGAAGTGCATTTTTTCTTGTTCTGGCAGGGACTGGTGCATTCTAGTTCCTTAAAAAGAAAGGAGAAATATAATGGATGTGTGTCATGGAAAAACAAGACAAAAATCCAGCTATGCATGGACTCACATGATAGTTTTAACTTTTGAACTGGGACAAGGTTAATAAAGTTCTGTATGTAATACATGTAATACATAGTCTTCCACAAATATGTCTAGAAGAGAATTTAAAATAAGACTAAATAAAACATGTTCAATTTTATAGCAAACATCAAATATTATGTCATTTGTTATCTTGATAATAATAGTACCTAATATTTATTGAGCAC